CTACCTTATCTTAAAACTCTGCAAACTAGTTATGATGAACTGATACAAGCCTGAGGCCAGGAGGTAGCTGTGCCTCAGGTTGTGGGTTAGTTATACTGCAGTGAAGCTTCCAGGTGCATTCTGTGTGTATCTGTGCAGTGGTGGGTCCCTGAAGAGTGGTGCAGTGAACAAAAAAAAGTTTAAATAACGCAACAAGCCGGAGCTCTTGTTGTTTTAGCCATTTGTTCTCTGCAGACCTGTCCTGACACTGCATATTCATGCTGATGAACATGTGAAAAGAAACCTGTGATGCACAAGCCCAGCTATTTTTGCAGAATAAGTAATTTTAGGGCCCTCTGACCTCTTGACATCCTGGTCCCTTGACCGCTAAGCCATTTTAGCAATCTATCCATGTCTGGCAGAAAAACGAATATTTTAACGTGACGTGAATGAGCAACACTATGTGGTAATTAAACCTCATCCCCATTATACCTGGTAGTATCCTTCCACCTGACAGAGGGTGCCAGGGGTCGTTGTCGGTGGCCAGGAACAGACACTCCGGGTCCTTCAGGTAGCAGGAGGCTTTGGCCAGTTTCAGAAAAGTCAGTTTGTCATCATGTCCAACCAGCACTGCCTTGACGTCCGGAGCCAGGGCGCAGTCGTAGATGGTGGCGTCCGGATCATCCGCCTCCTCCACGCAGGGGATGCCTGCCTCTTGCAGCTCTCTGCGCAGTCCGTCGCAGCCGATGACAAACACCTGGCCAGGGACCTTGACGACGTCTCTCAAGTAGAGAGCCGAGCAGTACGACGAGCTAAAGATCTGCTCCAGCATCACGTCGGTAAAGCCCAGCCGGTAGAACTTGTGCACATAATTCTCCCGCGGCCTGGTGCAATTGTTGGTGACGAACACCACGTTTTTGCCGCGCCGGATCAGCGAGCTCACCACCTTCGCGGCGCCCGTTATCGCGTTCTCTCCGTGCCATATGACCCCGTCGCAGTCGAAGAGAAAGAAGTCCTTCGCCTCAAGCAGATTTCTAATCTGAGGTCCTCGAATTTTCTGGCAGCCTTTAAAGCCAAAGGCGCCTGCCATTCCGGCTTTTTCCTCGGTTACTTCCGTCTTTCACCTTCTAGTGATCCCCCACGTCGAAAGCTGGTACATCATGCGGTGAAGACGGCGTGTTAAATGATACGAAAACAAATCAATGTCAGGAAATCACATTGCAGAGTCCTTGGTGCGGTTACATACACGGAGCGAGCCACAAAAACATTGACACCTAACCACGCCCACGCTTTCAGGACTGACCAATCAAACTGTAAAAGTTGAGCCAATTGGATTCGTCGATTATAAGAATAGTGCCTTCTAAAAATTTAATTGCGCCCCCGTGGCGGCTGATGGACAAAACATGGCATTAAATTTAAAAAAAAGTCCAAACCAAAAGATCACTATGGGAGAAAATAGAGCACCACAATTAAAACACTTTAAAGGAGTAACCATTGTGCACAATGGTCCTATTTTTCATTTTATATAATCACTCATTAAAACCAAGGTAACATACTGAACCTTGAAGCAAATGGGCCACAGCATCTGAGGACCACTGCAGCTGCCACTGCTCTCAGGAAACAGCAGGAAATTGAGGCTGAAATTCACCCAGGCCCTCCAAAATTGGATGAAAAGTGGTTTAAAATACGTTGCCTGGTCTGATGAACCTTTATTTCTTAATGGCATTCAGATGGTAGTGTCAGAATTTGGTATGAACAGCATGAAAGCATGGTTCCAGTCTGACTTGTATCATCAGTTCAGGCTGGTACTGGTTGTGTCACAGTGTGGGGGATATTTTCTTGGTACACTTTGGGCCCCTTAAAACAAATTAAGCATCATCCAAGCACCACAGCCTATCTGAGTATTGTTGCTTACCACGTCTATCCTTTTATGCCTAAAGTGCACCCACCTTATAATGACTTCTTCCAGCAGGTTAATGCACCATGCCACAAAGCTAAAGTCGTCTCAAAAGGGGGTCCAATCTAGTACTAGCAAAGTGTAATTAATGAAGTGTCCAGTGGGTGTTGCTTCATTTTTACCTTTATTTTTTACCATTTTTTTCAACAAACACAAAATAAAAAACAATGTGTAATGCAGCTTAATAAATAAATAACTAATCAACACCAAATCAAACGCTGCAAATTTAATAAAGCTCTTTATATTTTTTGTGCTGTTCTACACTTTGGATGCCTTTACCCAGGAGGACGAAACTTCTATTCTTTACTGATAAGTATCCAAGCCATGGCCAATTGTTCATAACGCCAATAATAATATCTCTGAAATATACCAGAGTAAAAACAAAGTAGCAAAATAATCCTTATGACGTAAAAGAAACTTCATGATTATTAACAGAGAACGAAAAATGTTACAGGTATTCCTAACAGCAATAACGTTAATAATGATATGGCAGAAACTTCCTAAAAGACATAATTTTAACAACACGTGGTTATAAGATTTCTGTTAATAAGTTGCTAGCGGTGGCTCACTCTCAGTGGCTCACTCTCAGTGCAGTCTTCACCTCACGTCACTAGGTGGGGCTCTAACACAAAAACATCCCAGATTTGAACTTCACGATTGCTCAGATTCATGCACAGAGACTGCTGTTTTCTGCCTCGCTGTCCATCCTTTCTCTCACAGACCATGAGCCGGCAGAAAGGTCCAAACTAGCTTAATCTTTTGACCTCTAATAAGTTAAAGAAAAATAAATGCATACATTTAGATTTCAGAGATTAAACTTCTCCAATGTTTTAATCATTGTTTAACTTCCACTCCCTCTGTTGTACAATTTTACTGTTTAAAAATCATTATATGTTTGCTGGTTTCTTTATCACTGCAGGTGACCTGTAGTAAATTTGGCTTGGTTTCATAATAATTGCTGTAAAAATGTACAAAATACAGAAATTCCATCTTAAATCAGCAATGAAAAACATAAAATTTAAGATAAAGTAGAAGGGTTTTTTTTTATTACATTATTTTGGACATATATTACTAATGTTTGTTCCATGTACTCTGATCACTATTATGTTTTGTTTTTCTTCTCTGCACTTTGAAATTCCAGGATTCTGCTTTGTTCATCTACAATCTTAAGCAGCTTTCTAATTTTCTTATATATTCCTTGTTTAAATGAATGCAATTTAACTGCTAGACAACAAAGAGAAAAGGCAACAAAGCACTGAAAGGACACTAAAAGCTGTCCTAATTGGTTATTAGTGAAAGGACGAAAAAGACCTCCCACCAGCACAGTATTTAGACTGTCTGCTAATGGAAACAGTTTTTGATCTTAGATAACAAAGAAATCTCAGTAAATCAAGATATAATTGAGGTAAGTTAAAAGTACTACTACAAAGTAAGTATAATTGAAATCAGATGCTTAGATATTATAATATTAGTATTTCTAAAGTGCTACTGACAACTAAGTGTTCAGGGATGATGTGCAGATATTACCTTTATTGTAGAAGTCAGTAAAGAATAAAAAAGGTTCATTGCCTGAGCCCAGATGTTTGAGTGGTCAGAAAGTTGGGAACTGATCACTGGAATGTAGGATACTGGATGGATCCTGACCCTTCAGAGTGCCAGGATAGAAAGTTATATAATGGACACCTGGAGAGAATCAAGAAACCATATAAAAAGTCACAAAACCTTTTGAGCCTCTGATTTATTTATATTGAGCTATTGGGAGAGTACCTATATACTGTTATGATATATTACTGAGGTAATGTAAAGGTTGAATGGATGACAATAACCCTGATGTACTGGGTTTGTGTTCCAGGATGAAGGAACAGGGGTTACAAGCATCAAGGTCAGTAATATCACAGTGTTCCTCTTGAAGGAAAGTTATTATCTCCTGCTCTCTCCAGCAGCCTTTCATACCGGATGGACAGGAACCTCCTGAAGTTTGAGAGGTCATTAAAGTTGTCCCTGAGACAAAGAGAGAGGAAGCTATAATGACTTTCTATTTTTTACAGTACCATTAACTCAAGAATGCTCAAAGAAAGTCTAACAGAGACTAAATGGGCATACATTTTTGTTTTATTTTTAAGATCCCTGAGACTTTATCAGCAGTGTCTCCTGTCATTTTTGTATATGTAAACAAGTCGTCTAAAATTTGTGTAATACCTGCTCAGTAAAAATCTTGTTTGTTGTTTGGAAAAAACAGTGCTTTCACTGTTTTTATATCAACGTAAGGTTTACCTAATCGTGTATGAACTTATATATAATATACTCTAATGCAATTTTTTAACAAAATATTGGTGCGTGTACTCTGGTGGCACGGTAGTTAACCTTAGGTCCTGGGTTTAAATCCAGCCTGAAGCCTTTCTGTATGGAGTGTGTATGTTCTCCCTGTCTCCGTGTAAGCACTCTGTCTTCCTCTCACAGTCCAAAGACATGCATGGAGTCAGGTTAATTGGTCATTTTAAATTGCCTGTAGGTGTGAATATGTCTCTATGTGTTAGCCCTGCAACAGACTGATGACCTGTACAGGGTGAACCAAAAACCTTGCTCTGTGGCAGCTGGGAAAAGCTTCAGCCTGAATTGGATTTGTGGAAGAAAAGGGATGGATGGACACGCCATTACTCACCAATCAGACAAACAGGATCTTGGCAGACTAAAGGACTGAGATAGCCAGAAGCAAAAAAGTCCATAATACATTACCCGTGCTGTTTGTATTATGTGGTAACAAAATTATTCTCCTTCATTAGAAACAGATAATAAAAACCTTCCTGCTAAAACAGTTTCTTATGGAAAAGTTCAATTTAATGAGCCAGGCAGCTTATTAAACTGAGTAATGATCAAGACAAGTGGACAAATTTCCAGAAGATATCAGCAGAACAAAATGGATTATCACCATAAAACCAAGAAATGCCTCATGCTTGGCAAAATCATCCTTTTACAAAGAGAGGTCCTATTATTAGAACATAGTATTGGTATAATAACATGTTTTTTGCCTTTAGTAAAACAAATTGTCTAACAATCTACATTATTTGTTGAAATATCATTTATTCATACTTCTCCGTTTATGAAAAAAGTGAAAAGCTGCTACCATAACACATACATCCTGAATGAACTATGATAGGGTTGTTGGTGCCACAGTAGGAAGTGACGGACAAGTCAGGCTTGACATCTGAATTATCCTGGACAATGCACAGAGTTCATTAAAAAAGAAGCACCTCAGTCATGAAAGTTCAATCCACCACCAGATGTTATTGTTCCCATCCCAAATATGTAGTACAACACCAGTGTATGGATGCACACCTATTAACATAGCATTTTAAACATTAAAGTAATTAGAACACTTCAAAAGCATCCACATGTGCATTTCCCAAGTTAGAGTTCTTCACAGTGCGGCCAGAATTATGTCTTTATCTTATCCTTTATGAAAGTGTTGAGCTGTTAGTCTCTCCTCCATGCTGACTGTCCAGTAACACTCCATGAATGTTCTGAAGGACAGTGAGAGAATACTCAGTGAGAATACATTTGCACATTATGTTAAATATACAGTTGAGTTTACAGCCTTCATCATTTTGGGAATTTAATGATTTCTTTAAAGTGTTCTTTTTCCAGGGCAGATGAAGTTTCTGCCAAGAAAAGTTGTCAAATATCCAGCCAGAATTATGTCAGAAGCTTGTTGATGGTAATCAAAAGCATTTGGTCATTTGGTCAAGGTGCAACTTGCTAAGCGAAAAATAGGCAAAGTAGGCATGACTTCTACACATGACTCAGTGTAGGAGAGGACAAAGGTTATGCAATGTTGGACTCTCACTGAAGCCATGGGTCAGAGTAAAAAAACAAACTATGATCAATACTGGTAAGTCAGTAAGTAGAAACTTACCACAAGCTGGTGGTGTGTACAACTCTCCATCAGCGACAGAACAGAAGGATGCTGAGAGAGAATGGAAAAAGGGACATGGTCCTCAGGATCATATCCCAGCTCTCTGAATACTTCCACCAGGTTCTGCAGGCCAGCAGACAGTAATAGTATTATCATTAGAGAAGTGCTTAGTGTTATGGTTAATATTTATGCTCATGGTCATGATACGCTTTGTTATCATTGCTCCTAATGGCTCCTAATCCTGTCCTTGGAAATGCATCTGTTCTTCAGTTCTGCTATTACACACATACAACAACTGACAGTTTGTTATACTGGAGATTTTCTTCAGGGGTCCATCTTATTTTGACAGCACCTCAATCATAGTACCATTAAAAGACTAAACATAGTGCCTGGAAGGTAACAAGTGTGTGATCTTGTAAGACTTACAAAAATTACAAAGCCTTGCTGAGATAAGACCTCACCTATTTTTCTACATTTATTCATTTTCCAAATTAATCTAATCCTTCATTTATTTTAGTTGTAATTTTTATTTATTAAATTTACTAAATGCTCAGTTTTAGCTCTCATAGGCATCCATACCGCAGTGTGCTCCTTCTGATTCGGGCTGCCGGAGGGAACGTGGCTTTTGTCTTCCATCTTAGTGATTTTGTGGCAGATGACAGAAAGGAGAGCAGGGATCGACACTTCCTGCTCATCCCCCAAAATGCTTGATGCACTGAGAGCCCCTTCTTCCTTGTAGTCAAGTTCAGAGGAGGAGAGGTCTGCATTCTCTTCTATGATGGGCATAGACTGAATACACAACCCACAATGATAATGTGAAATGCAATGCAGTGATTTTGCATGATACTTTTCCTTTTACATACTCACTTTGACAAGATGGCTCAGTGAGAAATGCGTGAGTTTTTGACCAAGGACCACGCTAAGTGCTCGGATGAAGCCCTGTGTGGGGTTGGGGTCTGCAGCAAAGTACTTCAGCATGGACACATAATCCAATTGAGAGGGAGAGAAGGAGTGGTCTGCAAACATGTGGAAAAAGAACTGAGGAAAGAAAAAAGACCACATTTTACAGTTAATTCATTTATTAACTGCAGCTCATTTAACCTGAAAAAAGATGATGGAGAATTAGAAAATGATCAGAATGACTGGATCCACTCCCTTTTGTGTTGTAGGTTAATGATTTTTACAATATGGAAATGAACAAAATGGCATTTTTTTTTTTACCTTTTCAAAGGTTGGAAATTGTTTTTTGTTCCTTTTGTTTTTTTTCCCTTTTTTGGGTTTTTTTTTTTTTTTTTTTTCATTTATGTTGATTGTGCACTACGCCCATCTAAATTTACCACTGTGGCAGTGAAACAACCCAACCAAGTTTTTAGGCTTGATAGGAAGTCACCTTGCGAAGGTTGGCCAGACGCACATAAGGTACAGGCTCAGAGGGGTCCTCGGGAACAGTCTGGACACTTTCAGTGGAGAACCACAACTCTGTCTGATGACAAAGAGGCAGGAAAGCTACTTAATCACTTCCTTTTAGGGAGGTATGTATTTCATTTTATACTCTACCAAATACATAATACAGTCTAAATGTGATATTATAACTCAAACCAAGGCCTGATCACGGAACAAGAAGGGTCATAGAAAGTGTGAGGGTAGCTTTATCTAGAGTAGAATGATTTAATGTGATTTTTAAAAAATCTGTTAAAATGTTACAGTTAACAAAGCAACAAATGGACTTACTCTCAAGTAGTTCTCCTCATTTATATAGCCTGTGTCACCAGTATCTGCTGCCTTGAACTGTTGTAGCACATCCAGCAGCTGACTTAACAAAGGAAATGGCCAAGGAAGAGCAGCACTGAGCAGAAACCGACGCCAGTCTACCAGCTCATAGCTGTCCGTCAATGAAGACACAATCTCCATCAACTGGGAACAGAACAGACAATAACACTGTTTGCAAAATCTGCATAATATGACAGAACAACATGAGGCAGAAATGTTTTGCAGTTTTTAAACCACACTGTCACATATTATTACTCAACTCTAAAAGTTTCTGTACCTGCGATTCACTTTTGTCCATCCAGGGCTCAGGCAAGGTGTCTTTGCCCATGTTAGTAGTTATGATATCTTTGAGCAAACTGAAGAACCCAGACGTAGACATGAAGCCTTAAAGTCAGCAGGGAGGAGAAGTAAATAATGGATTAACTGACAGACATTACTGTAGAATTAATTGCTCCACACCAGAGCTTGTCTCTCCAATTTGCACCTGATGGAGAAATGCTGTATAGCTGCTGGTACAGTAACTCTAGCTGAGCTATGGTTGGGGTGGACCTCATGGGTTTCTCCAAAGGAGGTGGACGGGGAGGGGGAAGTGGGCTAGCAACCACACGGCAGTCTCCATTCAGATAGAAGTCAGAACACTCCTGATGAATAGAATATGGAGAATGATGGAAGTGTCAGATTCTTCTGGAATAATTTATTAAAATGTGATATATATATATATATATAT